AAAAAGTGGCTGCCATGGCATACCTTCTGTTCAGTCAGTGTCCTTCCCAAGCTGATATTAATTTCACGAAGCTCCGATTAGGTAATCGGCTGCATCACACACACACCATACACACACCCACTGTGCAATGCGGATGAGTTTAGTGGCAATTTTTGTTGTTTTCGCATTCAGTTCGCATGCACATTCTCGGGCTGTGACTCAAGGTTATGAGATGATGATGATGATGCTCTGGCCGCACGCCCAGCCGCACCCCCTTTGTTCCCTTTCGCCGCACTGAAAAGCTCACACAAATTATTATTACACACAGACACTGCACAAACACACATTTACAGAGGCAAATAACGAACAATTTTATTTTATCAGCTGCCTGCCCCACCTCACCACCCTTCGTTTCGTTTTTCGCTTTTCGTTTCGTTTTGCATGCACATAAAACTAAATGCGAACTCCCCCTTTTTCCGCGCCTTCTGCCCGTTTCTGCGTTTACATTTTACATTTCCGGGTTGTGTTGCTGTATTAGGTATTAGCTAGTGAATGCCTGCAAATCATCTCCGTCAACAATGGAGAATATGGTATTAACTAATATATCGAGTATACGCCATGTAAACGCTGTAATAGCCTCGAAAGTGTAGCGAATTCTCGATGTCATAAGAGAACTGAAACCATGGGGAAAGATCAAGGAATGTTGTCACAAGAAATGTCACAGTTCCTGGTTCCGCTGAGTTTAGCAGTAATCAGAGTTATCAGGGGACACCCTTTCCTAAGTTTTTTATTATATTTATTTATTTTCTTTATTGAACAGTGGTAGCTTATCACCCTTCTAATAACCTCTAATACCCCTCATAGTAACCGCACAGAAAAAATACAATTTTTAGGTTCCGTATTCGATAGTTAACAGTATTTATTGCTGTAAGAAACTACATACTAGTACATTCTTTGTAATAATAAATAATTTATAAATAAAAATAATAAATTAATTTCAATTTAATATACATATTTTATAATGTTATTGAATTCGATTTAAATATAGATATATGTATGTTTTGAAACTAAATTTAATAACAGGATTTTAATTACTAAAGAAAGAGTTATATTTTTGAGTCCCGCTAATAAATCATTAGCGTTATTAATGTTAATTATATAGAACATTTCAAAGACAAATAAAGATTAAAAATGCTGAACTCTGTATAATATTATCATTTAGCTCAGCAGAGCAAGCTTCTTATTTTAATTATTCAACGAAAAACTATAAATTACTTTATAAACCAAATTAAATAAAATGTTCATTACAAAATCTATAACTAATAATTCCTTCTTACTTTTAAATTCCTATCAATAGCGGCAACCCCCTTATTAGGCACTTCCATGTCCCTCTGCATATGGTTTTATAATAAATATTTACATTACACTTGAAGAAATACATCGTTAAATTTGTTTATTCATTGAAACTACTTAGCGTTGATTTCCTACTTAGATAGAGGGAGATGGCGAGCATATTTATGACTGCAGCGCTCTGCCCAGAGTGTCAGAGTTATCAGTTGAACGTGCACAGACATATAGCACTATATAACACTATATAACACTATATAGTTCTATATAGATGTGTATATATGCGGTTAGTACAGTTGGCTTTGTCCTTGAGCGAGTGATTGCGGGGGGTGTGGGACCCATTTCGGGTTGAACCGAATCGCTTTCCGCATTTTGCAATTTGATAAAGATCGATGCATGAACGTGTGAGCATAGAGGAGCTTCGCGGAAGTTTTTTTTTGCTTACAATTATTAGCGGCCAGCAGGGCGTATGCGCAATGTGGCAGAGCGCTCGCGCTTATCAAAGTGCACTCGCTCGGGTCGTCGGCGTTCAAGTTGAATGTTGAATGTTGTTCTCGCTTCTGCCTTTAATTTCTTTATTTTCTGTATGCTAGTATTTTCCTTTACTTTTTTCATGATTATGTCTTGGTGAGTATGCTATTTATTTTTAATTTGACGCGCCTAGCGAGCGCTCTCCCTCGCACATCGACTGTGTGTGTCCTTCAAATGCAATTGTGCGATGATTAGAAACGCAAAGCGCCAAGCGATTTTTATACCCTTGCAGGGTATTATAATTTCAGTCAGAAGTTTGCAACGCAGTGAAGGAGACGTTTCCGACCCTATAAAGTATATATATTCTTGATCAGCATCAACAGCCGAGTCGATCTAGCCATGTCCGTCTGTCCGTCTGTCCGTCTGTCCGTCTGTCCGTCTGTCCGTCTGTCTGTCTGTCTGTTTCTACGCAAACTAGTCCCTCAGTTTTAAAGCTATCTGAATGAAACTTTGCATATAGTCTTCTATATACTCTCACTGCTATATATGTCGGAACGGGCCGGATCGGACGACTATATCATATAGCTGCCATACAAATGTACGATACATTTCTAGAAAAAAATTTATAACTTTGCTGTTTTTCAAAAATTTTGCTCCATTTTTTAGATATGGCCATTTTATATTATTTCTGAATTTTGGTAAAAAATTTATGCAAATCGGCCGACTACATCATATAGCTGCCATAGGAACGATCGAGAAATAAATAGGAAAAAAATTATAGCTTCGTTGTTTTTCATCGTATGTTTATCTACTCTGAGATATAAGCTTTTTTTATTATTCTAGAATTTTGGTATAAATTTCATAAAAATCCGACAACTATATCATACAGCTGCCATATAAACGATCTGTAAATGTAGAGAAAATGTAAAGCTGGGAATGTAAAACTGTAACTGTCAAACTGTAAACATAATAAGTATAGGTAAAATGTAATGAAACTCTGTTTTTGTAAGTGTTTTCAGCATTTAAATCTATAATATAAACATAAAAACCAATCTGCAAGGGTATACAAACTTCGGCGTGCCGAAGTTAGCTTCCTTTCTTGTTACTTTTTGTTTCTAATGCCGTATATAGTCGCCATATGTGTGTGTGAGTGTGTGGCTGTGTGCAGCTGTTTATTTTCATTTTCAAAGCGAATAGCGATAGCGAAAAGCTTTTTGGCGCGCTATCTGCTCGTGCAGTTCGCAAATGCAACTGCACAGATACATTGCAATTGTTTATTTTAGTAGAATTTTTGTTGATTTTTCGTACGGTACTACCCGCAATGCATGACAAGACTTTCGACTTCCTAGTGGCGTAATTGCGACAAGGGTTGCCCCTCCCTCTAAAATCGAAAGTATAGCGGAATGGGAATGGGAATGGGAATCAGAATGAGTGTCTTCCTCATCTTGTCTGCATATTTTTGGCTCACGGCGCCTACACACACATAACAGGCAAGGGATGTGGCGGTGCACAGAAAGATATTGAGTCGAGTCATTAAGAACTTTGTCAACAAAATAAAGGTAATTAAAAAGGAAAAAGTCAGAGGAGAAAAACTAGGGGTTAATGGAAGAAATTTGGGAATAAATTAGATGATTTTGAGGCTCATCAGATTAAAAATAAAAATATTATAATCATTCTTAAAGAGTGTTTAAGGACATTTCCTAAAATACAAATTATAAGCCAAGTGTTGTAGTTTTATTTAAATTTTTAATCTGTAAAAATGGTAAATCCAACAATTCCAGCTTATTTTAATATTTATTTGTATGCTTTCCTATAAGACTTCTATTCTAGAATTTATTTAAATTTTTTTCGCTGTGTAAAATCTTCTCTCAACCCGAAAAGAAATCACTTTCTGCATATCGTTTTCGCACATTTCCGCACTGGCAGAACCGAATCAAAATGCAATTCGCAAGTGCAAGTGCAAGTGCATCAATCTCACACACACACACACACAGATATACTACTCGTTGTGTGTTGCAATTTTGCATCCGTGTCGCCCGATCGCCGGGCTCGGAAAATTCGCACGGGAATTGCGGGCAGTTCGCATTCTACGTGCGTGCAGTTCGACGAGCGGACGACGTGATCAGAGTCACTTTTATTTTGTTACGAGTGTGGCTCCTTTTTGGCCACTTTAGGCTTCCTCTAGGGAGTTGGTAGCACTTATAGCCATAGTTACCACTCAAATATCTATATAGATTGGGTGAGTCCATAATAAAAACCCTATCCAACCCCCCACCCATCAAAGTGAATTTCCTGGTTATGCGATTATTGCACTCAACTTGATTGGGGGGCGCGATAGCACTTTGAGCTAGGGAGCCATATAACATCGAGAGTTCCTGGTATTTCCTGTTGTTTCCTAGCAAATACAGCAGGGATCTAATGGGGTGAAATTCCTTTTTGTAGATTAAGCTACCGGATTTATTTAGTTTATTCCAAGGCAAATATTTGTTTTAATTTGAATATATTTTTCAGATCATAATTAAAAGGATAGAAAGTGCTAAAGACATTTTATTTATATTTTTATAATCTTTGTAATTAATTTCTCTACATAAAAAAATCTTTAAAAATTAAACAGCAAGTACAATATTCAAACAGTAATATTTCCTGTTTATTTCTAAGGTTCTTCAACATTTCCTGGCCTAATACTTTTTATATTAATATTATTCTGAATTTATATAATCTAAATTAATTAAAGCGACATTTTCCTACCCCCTTCGAACCTATCTACCCCTTTATCACTTCCTCATTGCTCAGGAGGAATTAAAAAGGCCCAGCCTTGCCCAATAAATTCCTGATTGCGCAGCTAAAAATGACCGAAAAGGGAAGAAAGAGCATTCGTTGAATTTTTAAATACTAAACCAATGAAATGCATCACCACCGCACCACCGCCAGTTGCAGCCACATAAAACCACCGACGAAACGAAAAGCTTTCAGAAAGCCGGAAAGCGTTTTACGCGCAACCCTCTCGAGGCGAACTTTCCGAGCGAGAATCGAGAATAGAGAATCTTTGCGGGATGCGTTCGTATTGCAATATTCAGGGTAGCAGCGAGTGAGTGTGTGTGTTTGAGTGCAATGCCGGCTGTGTGAGTGCGCGGGGCTTGCAGTTTGGAGCTTTTTTGGGGTCTATGCCGGTTGGAAGTGGGTCAGTAGTAGGAACTCTCGGTTGGCGGCGTCAACGTTTCCATATAGCTCTTCTTCACCAACAAAAACCAAAAATAAATAACTACCAAAATCCAAAACAAATACAAAAACGACAAAAAAGAATGAAATTAATATTTGCCTTGAAAGTTTCGTTGTTTTTTTTTTAATTACCGCCCGAAAAAAATATCTGAATGTTGCAGTGAATGTAAAATAATGCTGCAGCAGCATTTATCTCCTATCCGCCGTAGATTCACAAGTCTAAAAGCCGCAGGGCAGCCGGAGACCTATTCCGGGGCGGGCGGCCGGCCACACGGCGTATGCGTAACGAGAGAACGAAACAGAAAGTGATGCGTAATTTGCGGGCCCAACGAATCAATAAGAAAAAAACATGCAAAAATCGAAGTCAAAGCGAGGAGCAACAGCAGAATAATCAATTAGCAGTTCTACAATAATTAAGAAAAACAAAACAAAATCGAAAAGAAAATGTTTTTAAATTAGAGAGAAAATAAGAAGCAACAAAATATTTAGCAGAACGAGAGTACAAAGCGCAAAACAGCGGCAGCCAAATGAAGGAATATAATCAAAGTGAGTTTTCTTTCTCAAGGAAATGTCATTTCCTGGCACTTCCCCTTGATTTCCCCAAGAGGGGGTGGCTTCGCGGGTGGCCCTGAACGTGAACGTGTAACCTCCATTAAGGCCGTAATCTTGAACTGCAGCCCCTCCCCCTGCTGCCCTGCACTCGCTACTCGTCAGCAGTTAGCTTTTCCGAATGCAACACTGCTAGGAACTTAGTTGTGAGCTTTTTCCGGGGTGTGAGGCAGGGGACTGCATAGGGGTATACAGGTGCAGAGGGTGATAGGCGCCGCTATTTATAGCGCCAAATCTAAATCGTTTCTATAATTAAACCGCCTACCCTTTGTGTCTTTCCAGATCAAGTAAAACTTCAACTAGCAGAATAAGCAGCCACCACTGAACCCCCGCATATATATATACCATATATATATATAGCGTTAGCAGAGCAAAACACAAACCACAACTGCAGTCGCCATGCACGGACACCACCACAATCATCCACAGAATCCGCAAGAGCAGCAGCAGCAACAGCAGCCGGGAGCCATCATGAAGTTGGGAAGCTCCTCTGGCCAGCCACACCATCCACAGCTCAACCATTCCCCGCATCCGCATCCGCACAGCCATGTCCAGCATTCACATACCCATCCCCATCCACATTCCCACCCGAATGTGCATCCGCATCCGCATCCGCAACACAAGCTGTCGGCGAGAAGGGCGCGCAGTCGCAGTCGAAGTCGCAGTCCCACGCCGGATGGCAGCCAGGACTACGATGTTACGAGGATGCGGGAGGAGGACTTTGAGCGGCTGGCCGTCTACCTGGTGCCGGATGTGCAGGCGGAGCGGGGACTGCCCAATCGAGCGGACAAGACGCTGCCGCGCAGCCTAACGCTCAAGTCATCCATGGTCTACTCAACGCCAAATGTTAAGGTGAGGATCAAGGATCTTTTTATTCTTTTTAATATTCAAAAAAAAAAATATATTCCCTAAGTACTTAACACAATTTCTTGGTTTCTTTCTAAATCGTTTACAGACTGAAGGAGTTTGGAGCAGCGGGGTCATCCCACGTGGCACTCGCTTTGGCCCATTCGAAGGCATTCCAACCTCAAACTATCCCAATGATAAGAATAAGGCGCGATATTTCTGGCGGGTAAGCATCCTCTCACATCTCTGGAAGCCTCTCATTGCAAAGGGTTCAAGCATCTGTTGTGGGTTTTTATCCATTTTTGATTTGCATCTTTTGTTTGCTTTTCATGGTCTCACAATTAAATTAATTAATTGTTAAATATATAAATATTAAATTACAAACATGCTTCCCCATCCAAATCATCCAGCAAAAGAAAAGAAATATAAACATGCGACTAACCAACTCGTTTCTCTTTAATTTTTTAATTTCATGTGATCTAATCTTAAACCATCCCACAAACAACCCAACCAAAATAAACACAAATATGTTGAATAAAAAATCAAAACGAATACAAATTCAAAATTATATTTTGCATTTTGGAAACAATTCGAATTGATTGTGGTTAATCAGGTGCAGGGAACACGCCACATAACCTACGGGAATATTAAGGTACCACTCACGATTTATGCTTTCTTTAATTTCTCTTTGTTGTCTTTGACTCTAAAACCTAACTTTCCCCCCAAACTAAACCCAAAAATCAGCACAAACTCTTTTTCCCCTTTCAACTATCCTTGCACTGATCTGTAAATGATGTGTTTTTGGAAAATATTTGAAAAGATACAAATAAAATTGAGTAAATTCTGTTTGTTTTAATATTCTTTGTTATAAGGACATACCTTGAGAGATTTTCCAAACACACATCCCTTTAACTTTCCACCCCTGTAGTTTTCTCTGCGTTTGTTCTTCCTTGTTGTGCGTCCTGTGTCGTTTGTTATCCTTTATGTTTCTTATTCAAAACCCACGAGTCTCTCTAAACTCCCCCCTTTCTCCACTCTTCTCTCTCGTTGTGTCCCTGTAGATCTTCAAGGACGACGACTACTACTATCTGGATGGGTCAGATCGCTCGCAATCCAACTGGATGCGCTACGTGGCCTCCGCCTACAGTCTGTCCGTGATGAACCTGGTGGCCTGCCAGCACCAGGAGAACATCTATTTCTACACCACCCGCGACATCCTGCCCAACGAAGAGCTGATGGTGTGGTACTGCAAGGACTTTGCCAGTCGCCTAGGCTACGACGTCGATCCCGAGACCACCATCTTTGGCGCCTGCAAGCAGGCCGTCGAGGCCGAGGAGGAAGTGATGGACGAGGAGGAGGAAGAGGCGGAGCCGGAAGAGGAGGGCGAGGCGGGAGTGGAGGGTGGCAAGCGTCGCTACTCGATGCCCGCTCCGGAGATCCCAGCCGAGGTGGCCGTAAGTCACATCACCTATGTGATGGGTCTCCATTTGCCTGTGGGAGCGGCGAACGGTGGACCGGCAAGTGCCTCCACCTCGCCACCGCCACCAACGTCTGCCAACGGACAGTGCTGCCGGAGATCAAGCCCACCCGCCCATGTCAGCACCACCTCCTGCAACGCCCACCATCCGCACATTCAGCATGCCAGTCGCCACGCCTCGGTGATTATTGGCCAGGATCGCTCTCCTCTAACCAGCACGAGCGACAAGGACACGGCGGGATCACCGCTGTCCGGCCTGGACCATCAGCTGACGCCGCAGGACGGCAGCGTAAGATCAGTGCGCTCGGATGAGGGCTACCACAGCAACGAGTGCCACGAGGATGGCCTCACGCCGCCTGAGGATTCCAGCGACAGCGAGAGCGAGCACAACTACGTGCTGGACTGCTCCAAGAAGGCCATTGCACCCAAGGAGACGGTGATTGCTCAGGCGCAGAAGCCGAGCAGCTCGCCACCGGCCGTGGTTATGGCCAATCCCATCATTACCACCACCAGCAGTAGTATTAGCCACAGTGCATCCACGGCTACGGCCTCCTGTGAGCCGGACAAGAACGAGTACAGAAAGTTCAAGGTGAAGATGCCGCTGAAGTACGAGTTCAAGAACAAGAGCTGTGTGAAGCAGGAGCCCAATCTGAAGGAGGTGGACCAGGAGATGTCGCTGCCACACCACGAAGAGGAGGAGGAGACGGCGATGATGCACCAGGAACCGGACTCCATTTGCCCCTCGACCACCACGCATTTGGGAGATGAGCATCTGATGATTATGGAGAGGGAACGCGAGAGGGAACGGGACCGGGAAAGGGAACGGGAGAGGGAACCATCCAACCAGCAGCCCGCCTCCTCCACGGTAATCGTTTTGGAGCACAACTCTGGAGGCCAGGCCCGCACCATAGTGCCGCTGAGCAAACCCTACTATGAGCCGGATCCACCAGGCGAGCGCTACGTGCGCTTTGGCCAGCCCAGTTCCAGCATTCTGGAGACCATCCTAACCAGCCAACACCGCTTGGAGGCGGCAGCGGCGGCAGCCAATGCCTGTCGGCAGGCCAACGCAGCCACGCCGCCACCCACCTCGCCCACGGAGATGGCCTACAGCTACAAGAAGTCGCAGCGCTATGGCAATGCCGTGAGTCCGGACAGTAGCTCAAATCTTGGCCAGAGTGCCGATCAGCAGCAGCAGGGAGTGGGCGTGGTCGTGGGCGGAGACCAGGAGATGACTCGCGGCACCTTGATCAAGGGCGAATGCTCGCCGCCGCCGCCGAGTCACCATCACCACAACGTGATCTTCTCTCCGTCAAGGCATCCCGCCTACCTGGGCGCTGGAGAGGCGAGTGGTCACTCGCCTAGTCCTAGCTATCCTGGATATCCGCATTATGGAGCCGCAGCCACCTCCACCTTCCACTCGCCGCCGCACAGCTCGCACTCGCCCTTCGACCGGCAGTCGAACGCCTCGAGCGGAGCGGGCTCCGCCTCCAATTTGCATTTGCTGCAGAGCAGCACCCAGATGCTGAACCATCCGCTGATGCAGCCGCTCACCCCGCTGCAGCGCCTCTCCCCGCTGAGGATCTCGCCGCCGAGCAGCCTGAGTCCCGATGGAAACTCCTGCCCCAGGAGCGGTAGTCCGCTAAGTCCCAACTCCCTGGCCTCCAGGGGCTACCGATCCCTGCCGTATCCACTGAAGAAGAAGGACGGGAAGATGCACTACGAGTGCAATGTCTGCTGCAAGACCTTTGGCCAGCTGAGCAACCTGAAGGTCCACCTGCGGACGCACTCGGGCGAAAGACCCTTCAAGTGCAACGTTTGCACCAAGAGCTTTACCCAGCTGGCGCACCTGCAGAAGCATCATTTGGTGCATACCGGCGAGAAGCCGCACCAGTGCGACATCTGTAAAAAGCGCTTCTCGAGCACCTCCAACCTAAAGACGCATCTCCGGCTGCACAGCGGTCAGAAGCCCTATGCCTGCGATCTCTGTCCGCAGAAGTTCACCCAGTTTGTGCATCTCAAGCTCCACAAGCGGCTGCACACCAACGATCGGCCTTATGTGTGCCAGGGATGCGACAAGAAGTACATCAGTGCGTCGGGATTGAGGACGCACTGGAAGACCACCAGCTGCAAGCCCAACAATCTGGAGGAGGAGCTGGCCATGGCGGCAGCAGCCACTTCCGAGTGTTTGGGTAAGTTGAAAAGAACTTGGGTTTTCAAGGATTTTCTTACTTATATTTAATTTATTTTTCTAAACAGATAAAGATCATCCTGAACCGGACTCCCGCGAGGCCTATGAGCAACTGCAGCAGCACATGCATCCCGCTGTGCATCCCGGCCTGCGACACTTGTCTGCTAGCGGCGGACAGTCTCCACCCCGCCTTATACCGCTGGGCAACCACATGGGTCCTCAGCAGCAACAGCACCAGCAACAGCAGCAGCATCCGCAGCAGGGAGTGGCACCGCCTCCACATCTGCTGATGGGTCAGCATCCGGCTCCCATGCTTCTGACCACCGCCAGCCAGCTGCCTCCGCCTTTGCCCTCGCACCACCAACAGCAGTCCTCGCCCAGCCGCCTCCTCCAGCACGCCCATCCCCATGCACTCCAGCTCCAACAGCAGCAGCAGCAGCACTCGCCCAAGGGATTGAAATCTCTGCCAGAGTCGGGAGTGTATATGCATGGGCCGCAGGAGAGCAGACCCTCGGTCATCGAGTCCTCCAACCAGCCCATGATCATTGAGTGCACGTAGGGAAGGGCGTAGAGGAGCAGCAGACCAGAGGAAGTGATGGAATCCAAGTGCAATAAAATCAAGTAGAGTTAAGAACGGACGGACAGACAGACGATGAAAAGCAAGCAGCACAAGTAAACGTAACGGTATTATTATATAGTTGTATATAGTTAAAAAGAAGACTCCCCCCGACTTTCCCGTAAATTCTTGATCCTCCTTCCCTTGGAAAACGAACTCATTTTCGCGCTATGAAAACTAGATCTCACCAATTGGCAAAAAACCCTGAATTACCCTTCTCATCAGCATGGAAAGGAGAGCAAGCACAGCACGAAGGGCATATTATTTTTGATAAATATTTTATATATAAAGGACACATGATTATTGTTAATGGGGGGTGAATAATAAACGGAGGAAAAAACCGAAAAACCGAAAAGGAGAACGAGAGAAAATGCATTTAGGATTCGACGAGGCTTTCGATGATTTTCCAGTTCTGACTTTAGTTTGTCTCTCACTCTGTTTGTTTGTTCGTTCGTTTGTTCGATTGTTTGTTGAGGCGCGCACCTTTAGAAGTAGATGATAGAGCCTATAAAGGATAACTAAGGATACATATACCAGATACATACAATACATAGATTCAAGTTGCCTTATTTGAATTTCGTTAGCACTGACAAAAAAAACATTTGCTTATCCGAGAAGCTAATCTATACATACGTATTTTATATATGAATATATCATTATTATACATACGGATATATATATATATTTATATGTATTTTATTAAATATACACAACCGGAACGAACAGCAGCAGCAGCAGCAAGCAAATGAAAGCAAAAGTGTGTAAATAAAAGGGGAACCTTATTTCGGCATCTGTTGAATTAGTAAACGCCTAGCTATATAGTTACGTAGGCCACTAGGGATTACCATTATCTATGATTACACTATGATTATAACAAAAACAAAAACTTACAAAAAAAGAAAACAAAACGTATAAAAACTAAGCAAGGAGGAAAGAAAAAACGTAAGAAAAACTTAGCTGAAAAATCGGTGCTTTTGACTGTTTCCATTTGTCCACATTTACATTTACGATTTACGATTGTATTTGTATTTTGAAACACATGAATTATACATTATAGACCACTCTAATATATATAAATATAAAGTATATAGCATAACACTCTCTAGAGATATTCCCCAACTACTTTGCGCCTTAATCACTCAACCCTTCTCCAGTCCAAGAACTCCTTAGTCCTTTAACCACAAACAAGAAAACCGAATCCAAAAAATTTGCTCGTATTGTACTTTACCAAAATTACGCTCTCAATTAGTCTTCGTTTCGTCTGAATATATATATTATATATGAAATCTTTTTAGCTAACCCTAAGCTTATAATCTTAATGAGGCTGACTAGCTTTAAGTACACATATATCTTATATTATAATATATTATTAGCGCATTATCTATTAGCCCCTAAGGATTGTATATTATAACGATCTGTAAGACACAACACCAATTCGTAGTCTTAAGTGTAGTACAAGATACTAACCAAGGGGTCTGCGGGGAAAATGCTGGGGGAAAATTCGGGCGGTTCGCAATCGAAAACCGCTAATTGAGACTAAGACTATGCAAAAGTTTTTGTATTTTTGTATTTGATACAAAGCAAGCAGGAGTTAGGAGTGCAGTTTAACGAGTAGACAATGTTCTAGCCAAGTAAGACTTATTTTAAGTTAGCTGTAAGATTTCTAAGCATATGCAATATTTAAATATATACGCATAATATTTCTAAAGAAAAGCAAAACGCAGAAAAGATGAGACAAGCCTACATACATGGAAAATATAAAAGAAGATAATCAAAATTATACAAAAACATACAAAAAAAAAAAAACAAAATTGATTTTTTATTTCTCGTTTGGTTTTAATCTCACATACATATGTTGGTTGTGCAATCATCTATTTATGAATACATTCTTATTGTGTGCAATATTTCTTTGATTTTGATTTCTCTATTTTTTTCATCGACTTGCAAAAATCTACTAAAATAAGTGACATACATAATACTTTCCTATTTGTGAGACTGAATGAATTACTAATATACAATATACTCGTAACGCATAGAACACACCCAAGGAACCCCAGACATTTCGATATATATATACATATATTTTACCGAACCTTTTGTTTGAGCAAGCATTGTAATATATTACGACCGGATATGGATACGGATCTAGGCATATAGATATATATATATATACATAATATATATTTATACAAAGCACACTTACATAAATACATACGTAGTCGTAGAGAGCTATAGCTATAGCTATTTATATAGACGAACAACCGATGGCCTATGGTTAAAGCGCCCAACTTTGTACAGTAATTGAAATCTGTTTCAGGATTCAAGTAACGTGACGACACAACGTAAATTTAAATGGAGAATAAATGACTGCTTCTTAGTGTTATAAGTGACTCTGATTTAGGTCGAACACAAACACACACTCACCCACACACACACAGACACAAGAACACACAAATGATTCAAGGATCAATTCTAGAAATCAAATCCAAATATATATTCCATTATATATTCAATAAGTCTATCGTATACCTTTATTGCAAATCAATATTTCAAATGTATGAATCTATATAATTACAATTATCTATAATTCAGCCCTATATAAATCATGTAGAGCCTCTGTTATGCATACGTACCCAAGGATGTCGTATGAGATTGTTTCCCCCCACTCACTCACTCTCTCTATCTTTCTCTCTATCTCTCTCTCTATCCCTCTCATATACACAAAATGTACAAAATTGGTTCTCGTAAATAATTAAAAATTAGAGAAAAAGAACACAACAACAAAAACGCAGCGAATTTTATTTGCAAATTGCACCTAAGAATAATCATTTTATATTCGAGATGGAGATTGAGTTTCTGTTTGAGCCCTCTTGAAAAGAAAATATAATGTTGATTTGTACGAGCCTCAGATATATACACGCCTATATATCGGTCACCTCTTAAACCACAATAAACGAAATAATTGACTATATGCCTATTTAAGCGCCAATTATATGCGAGACATCTAAAAAATAAAAAAGGAAAAATCAAGCGGAAAACAAGAATTATCTAATTATTTGAATGCAACTTAAATTCCTATTAATTATATATGAAATATCTCTATAAAATATCTCTAAAGAATCACAATTAATAACAGTACGAAAAGAATGAATAAATACAAAAATATTTCATACTAAAGAGCTTGGAGTTGGTCTTCTTTTTGATTTAGTTAAGAAATAGAGGTATACTTTAAGGGGTTCCCTAAGGTGCTCTTGGCACTTTAGTCTTTTTTAGGTTTCTTTGTTATTTTCTTGATTTAAAAACATACATCTTTCTCTCTTTAGTTTTTAATTAATCCAAGTTCCCTAAGCTTAATGTATTAAATTCCCCACACCTTTTGACCAACTGCTGGGCTTTGACGGCCTGTCACTGCAAATGGAAACATCAATCACATGTCAATCAACAATGAAAGTAGGGCACTTCAATGCACAGTGGTTGGGCTTGTATGGAGACGCGGCCAAAAATACTTCTAGTTGATTAATCGTTACGAAATTTACACCAAAAATCAAGAAAAATGTTTTAAGTATATCTACAAAAAATTGCCTATATAGCACGTCTACATCATATAGCTGCCATAGAAACAATATGTTAAAAATCAACATTTAGTATGAAAAACTTTTTTGTTTTTCAAAATATCTTAACCAATTTCACAGATTATATGTTTGGTACAAGTTTATGCATTCTTACTAAATTTGGTTAAAATCGGATATCTATATCTTATAGCTCCCATACAAAATTTTAAATAAAACTTTTTTTCCAAGTCAAAAACTAAATTTTTTTATCTCTTAATGACAAAGTTGGTGAAATATAAGTGCCCAGAATTGAAAAAAAAATTATAAATTTATATATTGTGTATTTTATTTGTCTAGCAACAAAAGTACACAGCTAAAGGGGTGTAAGGTTAATTCGGTGCAAAACTGCCCACTTTTCAAAAAAATGTTGTGACGAAACGGCTGAATTTAGCTTAATGAATTAAATACCATATAATAACTCAACATATAAACCATTTTTTTTTTTAATTTGTGTATTAAAAAATATTTACAGGCCTACGACTAATAGCGAATCACTTAAGTCCCACAAAAAAAAAAAGTTTGTTTTCGGTGTACATCCGAACTGTCGACAAAAACATCCGATATCAAAATAATTTATTGCATTCGTTAAAGAATAAGTGCCCCAAGGTACCCAGATGACGTTTTTATTTTTAAAATTCTTTCCCTATTTTTGATCAAAATTATAAATCAACACCCGAATTTTTGCCTAAAAAATTAAGTTAACTTGTTAAAAAAATATATATTAAAATTAAAAATTTTAAAAAGCTTAACGTGAGTATCTGTGTAGTTAATTTAAAAAGTTATATTCAAAATTTCAAACCGATTGGTTAAGTTGTTTTTAAGTTATCGTGTACACCCATTTTCAAAATGGCATTTTTCAGGAGAGCGAGTTAAACTTTGGGATACTCATACAACGAACACCAAACGACCTCCGTTCAACTACCCATAACTTTGTCAATTTTTTAATAATCGATGTAAAACTTTCACACAATATTTATAAGATATTAAACCTTTATTTAAAAAAAAAAAAAAAAATACGAGAAAAAAATATTAAAAACCTTACCCTCACCTGTGTTAGTATTTTTAAGATTATAGGCACATAGGCAAATTTCGGCAAAATTTTTTTTTCACATTTGTCACCTTAAAAGCTCGACAAACACATTGGCATACATATGAACTGTAGATTTTTGTGGGGTCACAACTATAAATTTACCTAAACATAAAAAATACGTTCAAAATATTGGCAAAAAACATGATTATTTCACATTAATATAATGAAAACAATAATTATTATTAATATATAAAATTGTGTCTCATTTTATAGAAAATACCTTGAACTTCAAAACCCATTACAAAAAATATTAATTTAGACACGTAATAAACGACCGGACCACTTCAAAGTTCGGTTTCGTTGTGAAACATTCGCGATGCGCGTAGCTGCGCTTTGCAAATGAACACGTCTTCACATCTTTAATTCTATTTTTAGAAAGTCCTGTTCGATTTTCAAAAAAATCTGGTATGACACAAGGAAGTTTGGACATTTAAGAGACGATTTTTCTACTTTTCGTACATATTTGTTGAAATAATTTTTTTGATTTTTGGCCTATGGGCGCCACCACTGTGCAATGGTAACTCTCACATGTTAACCCCCCCGGAGGACATGCAAATTGTGTGCGTTTCACGCATAAAAAGCTGACAACAAAAAAAAACTATCCTGATTATCGCAAGACAAAAAAAAAACACAGTAAAGAGGAAAAATCAGAGGAAAACGAGGTGCCAGGTCGGGTCAAACGCGTGCTGTGCGGATATGCCACATGGATGGCTAAATGGAGCGAATGCATAGCCATCCTCCCCTCCCCCCAAACAGGACACAATCCTCCCCTTCGATTTTGCATAGAATTTTCCTCATTTTCATGCGACCAGCCTTGATTTCTGTTTGGCAACGTTTTTATTCACAAAGCGGATTATTTTCATGGCACCCCCGTCCTCCGTGAGCCTCGATCCTCGCGGACCCTCGGACAATGCCCGGCAATGCACTTCCCCAACGCAAATTGCATTCCCGGCGAATGCCGAGGACCACGAGCGGGACGCCTTGTTAATCCTGTTCCAATTATGTGCATGTGAGTGCCTGCCGCCTGCCATCCCTTATGGGCACTTTTGCTCTCGTTTCGTCCTTTGTCCACTGGCCGGCATTGTCCTTCGACCACTGGCCATTGGATTGAGACCGGCTCAGGATCGGTGGAGAGCGAGGCAAAATATTGATTACAGCTGGTTCGCTACATTGTTTTGGGTTCTTTAGCATTTATTTACTGTTGATAAAAAATCAAACTGACCCTCGCTGACCCCTCAGCATCACAAGCAGCAGCAGCCCGCTGGGATTTCCCAGACTTTTCATCGAGTTGAGCCATCAATTTATGGCTTCATGTTACCAGTTTTAAACGTATGCATGCATTAAAATAGAGTTTTCCATATTTGGTAAAATATTATTATATCTTTTCAGGGTTTTAGAATTTTAGTTAGAAGTTTGCAATGTAAACTTGTAAAGAATTCAAATATTTCAGGTCTATTTTTTAGAGTATTTTTATTTTATTTGGTGAAGCAATCATTTCCGACCCTATAAATCATATATATTCTTGATCAGCATAAGCAGGCGCATCTTTCTAGCCATGTCCGAAAGAAAAAATTTTTTTTTCGATTTTTTCAAAATTTGATAAGGGGTTACATCATTAAAATTGTGAAAAATTGAACAAAATTTTGATTTCTTAAAATTTTAAATTGAGTATACAGATTTGTTAACCTATTAAAAACTAACACAGAAAAGCTTTCCGAATTGAATTTGATGCTTTTTTGGCTTAGTTATGATATATATTTGATTCAATATCATGATCTTAGGGCAAACTTCAAGGATATACAAAATACCGAATTTAAGATATAAAATATATATAAAACTTAGCTTTACACTTCATTAAAAAATGTATATGATGTTTTATACAATATACCAAATTATTTCATACTAATTTAACATTTTAACGAACTAATTAGTGTTTATTTTAGAAAAACATTCCTTGTAATTCTACCCATCAAAGCACCTTTTCTCTCAAAATAGCCTCCGTTTTCGGAAGTTTTATAAACCACAAAATGTGCATTTGATGTGAGTTTTGGGGGTGCAGCGGACAGCACCTCCCTTCGGCAGCATCCTTATGATTTTCGCTACAGTTTCCGCCCTCGGATCGGCTGTCATCATCATCGGATGGCATTGGTCATCGATTCGACATGCCAGCGGGGCACGTGCCGAAATTAATTGCAGCCAAGCGGCAAGGGAGGAAGGATGGTTCGGCGTTCGCAAATAAAAGTTGCACAATGCAGCAGCCGGGATCGAGATCGATAGAGGAATATGAATCGGGATCAGGCATGCTGATGACCGTGAGGGTTGGAAATGCATCTCAGCCGTCCAGCTGCTTGCCACGCGTCTGACACGAGGGTTGCAGGCCGCCGCCGCCGCCAGTTGCAGTGCAGTTTTTTAGCACTGTTTTTTGGCAATCACCAATCAGAAGAGCTAGTTTTTTATGGAAGTCTTTCACAGGAAGAGGGATCTGCCTATCAGAGGGACGCAGTTAAGGGGTGAGGTAATAATATAGTGTTTTATGTACAAAACTTAAAGTTTGAGTGAAATATAAAGATAGAGTAGTTATATATATTTTTAATAAAGGAACTATACGTGAAAGAAGAAAACAATATATAAATTTATAAATAAATAATCAATATATAAATCAATTAAATAAATAAATAAAGAAACAATATAAAAAAAAAAGTTATATTTTAATTACAAAAATATAAGAAATATTATCAAGAAATTTTAAAAAGAAAATTATACATTCTATTTATAGTTTATAGATTTTCTGTATTATTTTAGGAAAATCCCATGACTCTGTTAAGGTTTCCAGTTTCGAGCCACAGTTGTCTGAAGTTTATATTTAAAATTATAAAATTTTCTTAGACCAAAATCTAAGCTTATAGATAAAGTTAAACTATGGAATCTGGAGTGTATAACAGTTTAAATGGTTCAAGTATCCTGAAATGCGTTCAGATCACACAGTGCCAGCTACAAATAAGAATACGTATGAGCTCGACATTATCATAGATAAATTTTAGCGCTCTCTCGCTCAGTATTTCCCCACTCCGATCGTAGAAGTAGAGTATCTTTCAGATACATTTCCGTGTGCTAGGCCAAAATCCACTCAACCCAACTCAACTCGAAACGAATCGGATCGAGTCGGCCGAAATCCACTCAACCCTCAACCGCTCGGCGTTTTCCACGCTCACTCGCACAGCACACAGCACACGCTCGCCGTAGACTCGAATATTGTTTTGAAGATATAGATACTGCGAGCTAAACATTTTCGGGTCTGCGGCGACCTTCCTAGAAATAGTCAAACGCAACGCGGAGTCAGTGTGACGAAGTGCGTCGTGCGCAGCGGCAGCGTTTGTTTTCCCCTGAAAATTATATAGAAAATCGAAAAATTTAAGAAGTATCTGTGTGCGTGAGTGCGTGCGAGTGCGGTGAGCGTTACAGATACAGATACAAAGGCGAGTGTGCAACTGTATCTACATGTGTGGCGGCTGGAAAACCATGCACTTGAAGTGAAGTTTAAATAAAAACGAGGAAATTGTTAGAGCTACAATCCAACCAGGAAGAAACGAAATACAAGAAAATATGGAAAACTTGCAGGACGAACTTGTAGGCTTGGAGAGAAGGAGCTCAACGTCATCGGTGCCAGGTTTGTGTGGAGCGAATCCGAATCCAAAAACGAATCCCAATTCAATTATATACAGACGTCAATCACACTCCCCCGTGTGCCCCGAAACTCGTTTTGTGTTCCAAAATAAAAAGCGACAACAAAATTCAACACGAAATCTTATCAAAGTCGCTGCTGATTGGCTATGCGATCGCCCTAATATTTCTGTTGCTCTTTCTGTTTCTGTTTTTGTCTGGGTTTTTTATTTATTTATTTTTTTTTATATATATACTGCGCAGTTCTTTGGGTTTCTGTTTTGTTTTTGCCATTCGCTGATTTGGTTTTTTATTGGCAAATGCGGTGTATATAAACTACGGAGGCGGAGGTGTCATCAACCCCCTGGCAAATCGAATGCTGACCGACATTTGTCAACCGCCCAACCCTTGTTAGGCTCGATCAAGGACACACACAACACAAGGATGGGGATTACTTGCAGTTCAGTGAGGTTTTCGAGGCAGAATCTTTTAGATCTCCAAGATTTACAGGGCTAATTGAATGGAGGGAAACCAGTTTGCAACTTACCTATAAGAATGGAGGACAAACAACCTTAAGGATACTGGTACTGGCACTGGTGGTGGCCCTACAAGATTTTCATTCAATTAGTCTTCTTATCAGACACGCTAAAGAATTTCCAGATCTTGGAATTCCATTCAGCAGCGGGGGAAAAATGTGAGTGAGAGCGACCTAGAAAATGCCCAGCAACCCCCAAAAAGAAAAGCAGAGACAGAATTTTTGATTTCAGATAAGCCAGCATGAGAATGCACTGCGAGTACGAGTATCTGTATCCGAGCGATACTACGAGTGCGAGTTCAAGATAGAGGCAGGCGGCCAGCGAAATGGGAACGAGCAGCGGCGGGCAACGTGAAGTGAAAACAATTTATGAATGAATGAATGAACCCGAATGAATGGGCGGGCGTGTGTGAGTGAGTGAGATGAGCCCCTTGGCTCAGATAATGGAATGAATCCACTCCGCTCTTTTAAAAGCTATTTCCAAATATTATGTGTCTTTAAAATAACAACGAAACCTGTTTTTCGTCTTCTTCTGTTTGCTCAATGTGTGTGTTGTGCGGGCAGGGGCAGGAGGGGATCGCAATCTAAGCCCAAACCCGAGTTGAACTTGCCCCGCGGCAAATGGGGCAAGGACATGGCACACCGAGCGCTTCAGCTGCTACTCCTGATGCCTCTGGGCATAGGCTCATTTGAATAACAAAACCAGGAGCAGGGATTCCCAGACAGGATATCGAATTGAGGCCTGAACTCAAGTTTCCTTTTCATTTCTTATTTTATCTATTTTTTACTTTTGTTTTCCCCCAGGGAATCCTGCGAGTCCTGCAGAGGAATGCGGCTGTGTGCGCCTGGGCAAATGCAAATGGTTCAACGTGGCCAAGGGCTGGGGCTTCCTTACGCCCAACGACGGCGGCCAGGAGGTGTTTGTGCATCAGGTGGGTTCAAGTTCTTCAAATGAATTATCCTGTTTTCTTATTTTCTGCTTTTAATAATTAATAACTTGCAGAGTGTCATCCAAATGGCGGGCTTCCGTTCATTAGGAGAGCAGGAGGAAGTGGAATTCGAGTGTCAGCGTACGGCCCGCGGACTGGAGGCCACCAGGGTGTCCGGCAAGCAGGGCGAGAGCTGCCACGGCAGCACCTACAGGCCACGAATGTAACAGTCTCCTCTACCACACCTCCAAAAAATCCAACTAACTCTCCTTCTACCCACAGCAACCGAAGGACTCGTCGCATGCGCTGCTACAATTGCGGGGAGTTCGCCAATCACATTGCCTCCGAATGCGCCTTGGGTCCGCAGCCAAAGCGCTGCCATCGATGCCGTGGCGAGGACCATCTCCACGCCGACTGTCCGCACCGGAATGTGGTGAGTAACCAGATCAGTGATTAGCAACCCAGAATCAATGACGGACTTAAACCTCGTTGCAGGCGCAAACTCCCAGCAATAGCGAGAACACCAGCAGCACCGGAAGTCAGGGAAAAAGCGAGGCCACCGCCTAGGAAAGTGGCTAAAGGAGGATGAGGAGGAGGAAGGATCCTTGGTTGGTAGTTGGAAGTTACAAACTTCTTTGACAAGTACAAAAACGACAGAGACACACGCATCAAATCAAAGAAACCCACGTACAACAAAACTAGCTACTACGTTTAAGTGCATTAGATATTAAAAGGGGGTTGGATGAAGGATGAAGGTTGCCAGAAGAAGGAGGACTACGCCCCAACACTGCCACCCCAAATTAAGTTAAGCTAAGCTCAGGCATATCCTCTTGGTCTTAAGCTACCCACTAAGGCTTTTTAACTGGAGTACAAGTACAAGTAAAGGCATTTAGCTAGAAAGTATCCCTTGGCTTATGAATTGGAAGCCAAAGCTTTCTCATCCCTTAGATCCAGCTTAAAGCTCGACGTTGATAAGAAAGCTCAGGCTACGAGTCACGTGGCCACTGACAACATTGAAGCTTTCCGGGGGGCAACAACAAAATCACCATGAAAACGCAGAATCATTGTAAGCCGAAAGTGAAACAGAGTGAGCAACAACAAAAAGATTAGGCGAGGACATGGCCAGAAGCAGAAGGGGAGGAAGAGGTCCTGTACTGTCCTGCCTTTTTTCTCAGCTCTCCCGGCTCTCTCTCTCTCTGACATTCTCTCTTTGGGTTTCCTCCTGGCCCTTTGGCTGTTTTTGTTGTGGTTTCGACGGTTTGCTACATTGTTCGGGCTCGTTTTTTTCTCTCTCTCGGGCACGAAAAGCAGAGTGTCCTTCGCCAGGAGGCGGAAGCAGGAGCAGCCAAAGGAGCGGGATACCCAAAAGAGGATGCAACTGCTTATGCGAGGCCCTAAAGCCAGAAACGGGCTCAGTCTCAGTTGATCTCTGCCAGAGAATTGTTGTGTGCAACGCGGCGGAATTTACATTTACAACATCTTATAACCATAAAAGAAAAATATATAAAAAAAAACAATATATATATAACATAAACCATTTAAAAAGAAACAAATTAAGGACAACAAATCAAAGCAAAAACAATAACTTAGACAACTAAAAGAATTTCAACAAAGTTAACAAAGCGTTTCAGCAACAAATTTTCAACAACAAAAAAACCAATTAAAACCATTCAAAAAACGTATAACTAAATAAATCATAAACATTTGTAAAATATACATTTTTTTGCGCATAAAAAGTAAAAGTTTTGCCTCGAGTTCAAGGCTAACACACAAAGAAATGAGTAAAATGAGATGAATACCTGCTAGAAAATAGTAGAATGAATATAACGTTAAGGCTGGCTGAGAGCAAACAATAATAAAAACAGCAGCAGCAGCATCAGCATCAGCAGTAACAACAACTGACAATAACAATAGTCAACGTCAACGTCATCGCACATTCATTTGGGGCAAGCCACACACACAAAAGCACACGCCGCACACACACACACAGAGGCACACAAACGCTCGCTGGGAATTTACAACCAGATTTACATGGGCAGCGCCTGTTATGTAATATCCTCCTTCTGACGCTGTCTCCTGTTATGTTAGCACAGTCCTTGCTCCCGCTCCTTGCTCCCTGTCACTGCTACCCGCTCCCTGCTCCCTGCTCCCTGCTCTTCCTTTTGAGTGGGAGGTGTGGCATGCACCTTTGGTTCCGACTCTGCTTGCTGTTGGCCCCCTTGGGTGCTAATTTGATTTAACTCGCACACATGGCCAGCTGGGCACGGCATTGAGACATTAGCCCGAAGGACACCAGCCCAGCCCAGCCCAGCTATTGGTAACCCATAAATAGGGACACGCCGCCGCCGTCGTCGTCGACGAGGTGTGTCTGAAGCGCATGCAAATCGGTGCGAATATTACGCATACGCCGCGTGCTCGATGATGATTCGCTTAGGCTCCAAAAAGGAGATTCGGTTTGTGTGGATTTGCTATTTTTCGATGGCCTAGGGTTGGGCCTAATTAACGAATGTGTGTCATAATGCGACAGCCTGTTAGTAGGTCAAGTAGATGCGATGCGATGCCGATGCTGGGCGTTTGCTTGGAGGTCGCCGCAGGTTCTAAGGGGGGGAAAAGCTCGTTGCCAAAAGGGCAACCCGAGCAGGAACGGGAACAGGGCGAGGCGAGGCGAGGTGAGATGAGATGAGTCGCGTTTTTGGAGAGCGAATGGGGCGACAAACGAGTGCGAGCAAATAAATAGTTGGGCGTTTCTTGGCCATTCACCGAAGCCGAGGCCATGGCTCTGGATAAACCTCTCCTCCTCGGTTTCAATTATCTTCTGAAAATTCCATTCCAATTTTTTAAAAACAATCTCAATGTTTCCACTTACTCTCTCTCTCTGTGACTGCACCTCACTTTCACTCTCACTCTCACTATTTTTTATGCTTTTCCTCCTCACCCCACCCACATAACGGATTGCATTGAAATTAACGTTACTCACTCCTTGTTCTTGCACAGGCAACGTAAGAATTACACTCTCTGTCTCTAGTCTCTGGCATGGTTCGAGTTCAAGTAAAGCGAAAAAAAGCAATTAAACTAAACTAAACTATGAACGGTTAAAAGTTCCAAAATATCTAAGCTACAACAACACAATGTACAAATCCAAAACACGTTAAAAACTAAAAACTTTTACTAAAAAATACAAAAGGAAACTGTAAAGAAAGAAACTGCAAGTTAAAGTGCCAAACTAAACCCAAAGAAAACATCAGTCGCTCTTCCATTTAATAAATAAAACAAAGGTAAGTAATTATTTCTTAACATATAATATATTTTTTCAGTGTATTGGTTTATTCCTACGATTCTGAGTGTTATAAATACTTTTACATGCACCTTACTTTCCACTTGAATGAATTAGTTCAATTAAAACAGACTTTTGTACATGGCTTTCCTTTTTTGCTAACAAAAACAACACGAATTGAACTAGAAAGGCATCTTTTCCACGGCCAAATTCCAGGCAGGCAGGCCTCGGCACACATAAATGCAAGAGTTGTAGATGCTCGGCTCCACCTTGCCCTGCTGCACCAGCGAGAGAATGGAGCACAGGCTGCCCAGATGGTATTTGTTTTGTTGGCTCATCAAGGGCGTGTTCTCCTGGTCTTTGCCTGCAAGAAAAAGTAGGAGTTTTTTGGGAGTTTAGTTAAAAATATTTATGAATTTGAGTTAAAAATTTAATATTTTATTTAACACATTTTATGGCTTAAATTTCTTGTCTTCGGAATACGTTTTTTTTCTAGTTTTTACCCACATTGTCTGTGGTTATTCCTACCTTTAATAACTCCCTTTTTAAGCCAGGTGGCACGATCAATGTGGGTCCAGGGTATCACTTGCTTATTGCCAGGAGCAAGCCAAAGGCTCAGCATGGTCACCGAAATAGTATCCATATTTCCGTCCAACGCAGGCATCAGAGTGCCCACTACCGAGGGGCTCAAAGCCCCATGGTAATAGTCATGAGCTCCATACAAAGCACTATATAGTCCCGTGCCCAGCATTCGGGTTGAGTCACAGCCAAATAGGAACACCACACTGCGTACCCTAGCCCGGCAAATCAGGCTGGCATTCACATACTGCAGGCCAGAGCCATGGCCAGCATACACAAAGCAATCTGTCTGATAGGCCTGCTGCACCATCACCTTCTCGGTGGGCACGGTCTCGAAGAGATGCTGCCAATCCGAGAGCCAGTACTCGAAGAAACTGCGCAGCCTGCGGCCAGAGTTCGCCAGATCTCCATCTGGATTAATTACGCACATGCCCTGCTGTATGGTCGTTGTATAATAGCCATGCTTGATATCGGCTTTGTGTTGCTGAAACAAACGCCAGAGGCAGTGCAGCGACTTGACCCGGCTGAACTCCTGGACTGTAAGCAGTTGCTCCCAATGAAAATGGTCCAGGCGCTGTAAAAATGTGAGAAATTAGCTACAAATTTGAAGAAATCTAAAAGACTTACTTCATCCACCACAAGTATCGTGGGATATCTCTTGGCCACCAGCTTCTGGCGCTCCTCCAGCTGCTTCCAGTCGTTGGCGAAACCCTTGAGCATATCATACACCGCCTGGGTGTTCTTGTGGCGAGGGCATATCTCATGGCAAATGAGCTTGAGTTCAGCGGCATCCAGCCGATTGGCATGCAGAGCCGCCTGGGATAATATAACACGCTGGTGGTTGGTCCATTTGTTGGCCAGGCAAAAGTCATCCACCAGATGGTTAATGATCTTGGTTTGCCTGTGCACAGCACTGCAGTCGTAGCGTTTGCCAAAGAACATGAACCTATAGGGGGCGAAGGTGTCCCTTAGGTCAGAAACAAGTTGCTGTTAAAGAGAAGGGGATTTCATTTAATTTTAATGCTGTTTTTTTATAAATCTGAACTACTCACTGTTAAAAACACAGAAAAGGCATCGAGCTCCTCCCAGTACTTCTGCTTGGCCTCCTTGCCCTTCATATTCTGAGGATCAACAGTGACCACTCGCCGGAATCTGTTCACTACCGTGCTGTACTGCCGAAAGAGTTTGGGCAAATTGCCACCCGCAAAACGCAGACAAATGGGTCCCAACTGGGGGCTGCGACAGTGGCGGAGCAGCGAGAGATATATAGCTCCAGCGCTGGGCTGAATCTCATTGAAAACAGAGTAGGTGGTGGCGGGTTTGAAGCTCTTGCAGAGCTGCAGGACACACCACTCGTCGGGCAGGCGTTGGCAAATGTTTCTGATGCGCCTGAGACCTTCCGCGGGTTGTTCTACATCCTCTAGGAAGTCCAGATGTTCGAGGTTATATTTAGCCAACTTTTGTGGTGGGTTTTCAAGCTCCTTTTTCTGCAGGTACTTGATGGTGTTTTGCAGGAATTTGTTGCTAACAAAAAGGTTATTCATTTGTTTAGTTTTTTAAAGTTTCTATCAAGTTGAATACCTTTTAAAGTCTTTCTTCTCCTGTTGGGAGGCCACTTTGAGCAGTTGCGCCGTTGTAGGACGCTGCTTCTCCAGATCCTCCGCCTCGGTGATGTATCGCAGATCCGTGGACTGGAACTGGGCTCTGACCTGGTAGTAAATTGAGTGCTCCACATTGCCATTGCGGTACTCTTCTTCAGCGCATAGTAAATTATATTCTGCAAATCAAAAACACATGGTAATGTTAAGACCGCAGAAGTAGGGATAAAACCTTAATTTCTCATACTAACCCTTGGCCACGGGGCCCACATCTTTGCTGGGATAGGTGACCTGCTTCTGCACCTTGCCCCCGGACACCAGCATTTCCTACAGATTAGCTTTTCTTTTAATTGTTTACTTTTTAAACTGTGGCGGCGTCGTTTTTGTTTTTGTTTTTTGTTTGTTCTTAAGCGATAACGATAGGCGACCAATCGAGCGATTAGAGTTGCCATACTTTGCAATATAACTCCCCTGGTCCCACTAAAAAGGCCCATGGCTTTGACGTTGCCAGATGGGTTGAGAATATTTTAACTGGTTTCTGTCTTGACTGAACGAAGGCTTCGTTAAATATTGAAACAGCGCAGGAACACTTATCCTGTCTTTCTCTCTCCTCCTTAGGCTCTCTCTCGTTAAAAACAGCGACGCTGACGGCGACTGCGACTGCTCGGCCGGCGTCAGCATCCTTTCTACTTATTAATTTTGATGTTGCTTTTCACTTTTACTTTGTGGCATGTGGAACGTGCGACTCGAACTTTTCCCAGTGTTGGAAAATGGAGGGAGTCTGCCCCTAATTGGCATGCTCGGCAAAATAACGGCACCAACCCAGCCCCACCCACCACCCACACCCTATCTAACCTCACCCCCCCTCTAGACCACCCCCTTCGCATACCCCGTTATATTTTTGGCTGCATTATTGATGTCCTCTTAGCGCTCGGCACGTTCGTTGTCCTTTCCGCCTAGCAAATTATAACATTAATATTACATTAACACACACACGCACACACACAGGCGCGTGCATTGGGGAGACATTAAAACTTTCGCAGCAGCGCGCACATGTAACATGAAATGGCCAAAAACAACAACCAGAGCCACCCCAGAAAATGGTATGTGTGTGTGTGGGTGTGCGTGCTGGTATGTGTGTGTGTGTGGCACACATTCCAACAGTTGCAGCGTCGTCGCTGTCGCTGCTAGCGTCGCAGCCGGCGTCGCAGCATCCCTCTGCATGGCAGAGAGTCTCAAAACGAATTTCGAAGTCGACGTCGACGGTTGTGTCGCTTTTTTCCTGCTTGAAAATATATATAATAATAATAGCCTAAACAAAATAAAGCTTTTAACCATTAACCCAATAACAGAAAACCACAGAAATATCCAAATAAAAACCCAAAAAGCACAACCTAACCTACTCCTTCATAAAAATCCAAGATATCCAAGAAAAAGTGTAGCATACTTTTGTGCCGCGTTGAAAACGAAAAATATAACGCCCACAAGGCCAGATTCGAGTATGAATAAAACACGTTAAAAACCCATAAGAAACGGGCAAGAAAAACGACATTTAAGTAAATTAAGGTGTGGTGATTTATGCAACTTTTTTGAGGCACACACGCAGCAGCAGCAGTAGCAGAAGCAGCAGCAGCAGCAGGCGAGAGCGTCGGCCAGAGAGGGGTCGAAAGGGGGGTCAAAGCCACTGCACATACCTCTAAGCTAAGCCCCACACACACACATACACACACACACTTAGGGACAGAGGCGAAGAGGAGCCGAGAAGAGGGATACAAAATAAAGGATAACGACGGAGGAGGAAGAAGCAAGAAAGAAATCGAAATTAAAATATATGTTCGGGGGCGCGCAGGCGAGAGAGAAAGGGGGGGGTGCAATTTTCGGCTGACGCTCATCTCCTGCTCCACTTTGCTCTCTTTGGCCGCTCTTTATCCGCTCTGCTCTGCTCCTCTCCCGCTTCGTCAAGTGAAAACATCTCGTTGGGGGCTTCGTCAAGTTTTGTAGGTATTTTGGCTACACGAAAATATACACAGCGCCTTCATCCTGCTGCTTTTGTGGGGGAAAAAAACGAAAAACCCGAATAGTTTCACAATCAAAATCACTCGAAAACACACCGAAAATTTCCCCAAAAATAAGTGAAAAGTGATCCTTGAATAGCATTCGAAATTGGTTTCCAAAAATCGACGAGAGCACGCCTACGCTTTTTTTTTTCGGTGGGCTGCAAAAGGCGTTGCCAAAAAGGATAAAACAACAAGGCTGCTAAATCCCAAATCAATTCTTCATCCTAGGCTCTTCAACTAGAGAAAACAACAAATAAAAACCAAAAAACACCCGAGAAAATATCAACTGAAATTATACAAAACTTAATCATACGCACCAAGTGAAAAACTGTAAAAAAAGAAACGAAAAGAAAAAACACAAGGCGAACAAAACAACGAAAATAAAGGACAAACAAAGGGATAGAAGCCTCCAGAGGAGGAGACAAGGGAAAAGGCAGCAGCATCAGCAAGAACATTCTGCTGCATAAATAATAATCTCGCCACACCGACGCGTATACGCCATATAGGCCAGGACATACCAGCAGGATATACCACACACACACACACACGCATACGACGGGCAGGACATGCTCCTGTTCTATTATTTAACTGCTTTCAACGTCAGCACGCCTTTCAACCCGACGAAAGTCGATTGAAAGCCGCCTTCAACGGCCCAGCATCCCTTGCTCCTTCGCCCAGAGACAGAGAGCGAGAGCAAGAGAGAGGTCCTTTGTGGGCGAGTGTATGTGTGTCTGTGTGACGACGTCAACGTCAATCCGCTCAATATTTATACATTGAACCGAGTCGAGCCTGGTCCACGAGCAGGACTCCTGACCGGATTCACAACGCAGACGCTCCTGGTCCTTCGCTGGTGCCCAAAATAAATAACATCTGACAGCTGCCCGAATCCTGAAAGCACTTAAAGGGCCGTCACAAAAAAGAAAAGGGGGAACACAAGAAAAAGAGAAAACGCGAATAGCGATACAATTTCCATAGGAAAACATCAACCAAACTGAACGCGATCTTAAGCACTCACAAACAAAACAATGGGCGCCAAGGAAAGTGTCGAGGCAGCCGCCAAAATGAACGCCGATGGCTGGGGCCATGTGGAGGTGTGTATTATCTATATATCTACTACATAAAAAAAAACTTAATTACCATCCATAAATTCCCCAAACAACGTTAGAAAAACAAAAGTTTTTAAACGAAATAGTATTTAAAAAGTCATAAAATCCGCCATATCTATGGTTCATTTTAGGTGAATAGCATTTGAGAGCATCTATTTTTTCTACACTCATAAAAATGTTTTTCTATATTTAAGCATAAAAAAGAAGAATACTTTTTTAGGAACATGTTTTTATTTTTCTCACATGAAGAGGTTTTTTAAATGGTTGCGGTTGTTTAGTTACATTCTTAATATAAAGGCAAACTGCAATTGTTTTGCTGGTCAATTTTCCATAAAAATCATGGGGAATCAGCTTTAGAAATCTCACTGAAAATCTCATTTGGGTGCACATATAATTCTTAACTGGTTTTAACTGGATTTGAAATCCCTAAAATCACTGCATAAATACCAAAGCAAACTTACTTCATTTAGTATTGTCTAGAAAACTATTTATTAAAGTCTAAATAATGACCAAAAGCATAATAAAAACAAATCTTTGCCAAACACAGACAACTTATACAAAATAGCCATAAAAAATAGTTCTTCTAACAAGTGCCAGTGCTTCTTCACCAGAAAGTATCCATAAAATGCCCTCTAATATTGTCAACAACTTGATGATCCCATTCGCCGTGTCTCTCATCGCCCCCAATTTGTGTCAGGCCTTTTCCGATCCCCATTGCATTTCCCGGCAAGAGCGACAAGAGTGAAGCTCTCCGCGCCTTTTGATTGATTTTAAAAATAAATTCGACAACAACACGTGCGCCAAAAGTCAGTCAGCACGCGAACAGAGAGAGCACAGTCCCATTTCCCCCATTTTCCATGCTTCCCCACTGCCGGATACCGATTGAGGTACGCTTCCCATGATCCACTTGATGATCGCATGTTTCATGTGCCTTCCGAGCATATTTCTCTGGTGACCTGATCTCTTGAGCGACCACTGAGAGCTCCATGTGGGCGTCATAGTGGTGCTCTTGAGACGCCAAGAGATTGGAGATCGGAGAGCGAAAATGTCTGTGAGATGAAAATTCGTTTTGATTTCGATTTTCTTTCGTTAGTTGACTTCGCGACGTGCATTTGTGATGTTGTTTTGGCCTTTTTGAGTTCCGTTAACCGCAATTCGAGCCGGCAACTTCGTGAAACAGGTGTCTAGGCCGACCGATGTAAACAAAAATAGCTATATAAATAAATATATGTACAATATATATATATATATATATATCTATTTTATAACAATCTAAATGTGTGCTAACAATGTGGCCAACATATGTGCCAGACTTTGATTATTTATAAAATTTAATCCGCATAAAAATAAATAGTGCTCCCCATATCTCACCTCGGATTTTATTTTTTTGCATTGCATTCAGTGTTCGTGGATGGAGGTGTCCAAGTAAATCATCAGTAAAATTTGATCTAAATCAAAAGCAAAACTTCAAAGCACATTTTCCGCCTTACATCGTTATGCATCGCTTTTGTTTTTGACACCTACACACAGCCGATTTTCTTTGCGGCAGCAGGGGGAAGTGGAAATGGAAGTGGAAATGTTGCTGCACCAGCGTTCGCACCTCTCGGTCTGGCTGGCTGGCTGGATGATGATAATAAACCGCGGCGTGGGTTGCTTCAACGCTTCAATCTGAGATCTGAGACTTGCTGTGCAGCCTTCATCGAGTATCTGAACAATTTATTACGGCTTAAAGTTAACTAAAAACTGTGTTTATTACACGCCTGCCCACTGAGTTGTCCGCATTTCCTGGGACTGATCTTTAAAGAGTTTATAGCTGGCACATATATTTTGAAAAATGTAAAGCAGCTCACATAGAGATAATAAAGTTGGAAATGTGTATGTTATAATGGAGATAAAATATAATAGGTTTCTGAAATTATCAGCACAATTATAACTACTCCTAACCGATGCTAGGACTCACCTGAATTCTAGTGCCCAATAAGCAGTTGACGATCTACCCTAGACTTGATTTTCCTGAAATTAAAGCAAAATGTCTATTAAATGTAGCTGAGATTATTTATAAAATAAATATATATTTAAAAGGTTCAAAACTAAATTAAGCCGCTCACTTAACATTTATCTCTTTGCTTTTCTTTTGCAGCGCGGAAGTCGCTACCACGGCCATCGGCACAACCAGCGATCTCAGTCGCTGAACCGCGGACAGGCGCTTTCGCAGGCGGACGTGAGCGGTATGTGGTGACATCGGGGTGCCTCTGGTAAAGGTAAGACATCCTTCTATTTACCCCCAAATTCAGCCACAAATTAACTGTTATTCCGATCTTCTAACCACAGGATCTGCGGCGAGCTGCGCCAACTGCGCCATGGGTAACAAACTGAGCTGCTCCTGTGCCCCGCTGATGCGCAAGGCTTATCGCTACGAGGATTCGCCCTGGCAGAGTTCCCGCCGCCGCGATGGCCATCTACTGAGGTGCGTCCGGGTGCTGAACTCTACTCCTATCCGCCGACCCGACTGACTACAAATCGGTTTTTTTTTTGTTTGTCCCTTGACTGCCGAAACGGGGCTAAAAGCAACCATCATCAACCGCCACTACCAACAACTGAACCACAATTGAATTCGCTCTTTCGATAACTTTTTTCCAAACCAACTAATTGTGTTCTTCTTCTGGTTTTTCTTTCTTTCACAAAAAAATGATTACTAAAATCGAAAAAAAAAATATATATATATAAACACCTCAAAACCACACACAACAAATTGATGTCACAACAACTACAACTACAACCAAATGTATCCTGCTTCAACTTTTCCTTCCTACCTACGACTGCAACAACTACAACTACAACTACAACAACCAACCAACTATAACAACAATGCGTTTCTTTGTTTTCCCAATTTTCCTCTCCAAAAACCCAACCTTCAAAAAAAAAATCTATTGTTCGGTGCACCAAATCAAATCCTAAAATTCAAATTGGATTTACAACAACTGCCAATCCATTGTTGAAACTTAATTAACCAACGATAGTTCGTTCAGGTTGTGGGCTGAGGTCTTCCATGTGTCCGCCAGTGGCGCCGGCACCGTCAAGTGGCAACAAGTGTCCGAGGATTTGGTTCCTGTGAACATCACCTGCATTCAGGACTCGCCCGAGTGCATCTTTCACATCACCGCGTACAACAGTCAGGTGGACAAGATACTCGATGTGAGACTTGTGCAGCCAGGTGAGTGCACATTGCTCCAACTCTCCAGCACCCAGGCCCCAGCAATCTCCCACTCCACCATCCTCCATCTCCTTTCTAGGCACACGCATTGGCCAGGCCTCGGAATGTTTTGTCTACTGGAAGGACCCCATGACCAACGACACTTGGGGCCTCAACTTTACGTCGCCCATCGATGCCAAACAGTTCCGCGAGTGCTGTGTAAGTATTCTCTTACGGTCTGGCCGCAAGCCCAGCCTTAAAAAAAAAAACATGCGACAAAGCGTCAAAAATATATTTGATAAAAAAAAAAAACAAAAAAAAAAACAGCCAAAGAAAAAACAAAATCGAAATTAAATTCAAACCAACCTCAACTGATACCGATACCGAAAAACCTCAGCCACCCACCAACTAATACAGCAACACTAACAGAGGTCTGGCGGCGAGCTATAATCATGCCCGCCAGCTGGAGCACTCAGCTGAGCCACCACCACCATCCCCACCAGAACCAGAACCAAGTACCAAGTACCACCGAACCAAGTCAGAAACCAAAGAACCAACCACCCAAGCATATACACCCACATAACACATTCACACACTCAGACACACCAAGACAACGAGAGTTCCAAGATGCTGGCGATGGCGATGACTGGTGATTATGATGATGCCAATGATGCTTAGGGCTGAGAGCCAGTCGATGTTTGATTTGCATACACAAAACACACACACACACTTCTCCCTATCTGTGTACTCGAAAAACATCCATAATCAATCGCTGGGTTCGGTGCAGCCGAAGCACTCGACCAAATCTGAAGATGAAATCATAATTAAGCTCTTCATTCGCCGCTCACAGAGTCACGGTCACTGTCATTGTCACAGTCACACACAAAGTTTATGCCAGGGAAAGTCATAAAGTTACTGAAATAGTAAAAAAAAAAAAAATCAGGCTCTATTTTGATATATAAAAAATACAATTTAAATTAAGTTTAATTTTTAAATGGGGAAATATAATATTTAAAAAGGTTTTAGCTGAATTTTCACTTATAAATTTAGGATTTTGCCATTTCTAAATATTATTTAAGATTATAAATCACTTCTAAAAATGTTAAATTAATTTCCTAAATAATATTTATTAATTAAATGGTGGAAAAAAATATTGAAATATATATTGTTAAAGTTTCACGTATAAATTCATGATTTTGCCTTTTTCAAAAATCAGGAACAGCCTTAAATCACATATAAAAACAGTAAATAAATGTCCCAACTTATATTAAATAATTAAATAGGGGAAAAAATAATATTTAAATGGGAATTAGAAGCTCTCTTAAGATCTGAAAATATATTTAATAAAAATTTAAAAGAGCTAATAGATGAATTAACTTTGTTAAAATCAACGCATAAACCGAGTCACCGTCATCGTCACTCGTCCTAAATCAACGAAACTCACAGAGACACGCACCAAAACATAACTCTTCCTTGTACTCGCTAATTAGTTGATAAAAACCTGACGATTTTATATAAATTGGTTTGCTGAAAATTGATACAAATTCTTGTTTCTTTTTTTTTTTTTTAATTCTATTTAGTTTTATGTGCATTTTTTCTTGGTTACTAGTTGAACCCTATAAAAATTTGGCCAAGTAAAGTAATTGTAGTATAAATGTAGAGACACACTCACACACATATATCAACACACAGCACAAAAACAAAGACATGCACTGGAAGAAAAACAATTGAGGGAAAACTCATTAAGAAATAGTCAGAAATTGAGGAAAAAATTTGAGATTTCAAGAAGTTTCTGTCCGTTAAAAGCCTTTTTAATAACCCAAGATCTTGTATATATTTAAAGTAAATAAATCTAAAAATATTGTAAATAACAACCTCAGTTCTTGCTATACAAAATTGTAAACAATTAAAATATGAACTTAATTTCTGACCTGCCATCTCAAGAACCACACCTCAGACTCCAACTCAAACCCCATCTATGTACACACGCCCACCACATATGCCTATTAATATATAGACTCTAATATTATGTAGTCAAACATGCTCTGTCTGGACTAGCCAAGTCTAATAATTGTTTCGTTTTCTTTTCTTACTTTGCGCATCATTTGTTGCAGGTATCTTACATTGTAAAAAAATACGTTAGTATCGCTTCATATTATTTCTTCTCACAGTGTACACCCACACAGCCAACAACTAATTCCTGTCCTTTGAGAGAAAGAAAGAAAGATAAAGTTTAACTATGTGTAGTTCCCCTCTAAGAATCTCTGTTCGTTCCATCCTCTGTTCCACGGTCACTGGGCATGAGTTTAAGATCCTTCCATAAGTGTACACCGAAAACACACACACACCGAACATAATGAGTGTCGTATTTGTTGTAACTTTTCTGCTCTATGTGTGTCCACCAATCCACTGCCACTATGAACCACCCTACCACCCCAGCTCCACCCTCACCTTACGGTGCTCACCTGGAGCTACCGGTCCCAGGACTCATTTGTAAATGTGACTCATCCAAGTGCAAAGATGAACAGCGGAAACTATCCGATAAAACCGAACATTCGACACCGAACTCAGACAGACACACGACACATACACCACACACACACACGACACACACACCACCCACACACACACTAAAATTTGTTAAATATATTTATATTATATATTCTTTCATTTCTTTTTCTCTCTTCTAATCATTTTTCGAAATCATTATCGAAACACGCCAAACTCAAAATACTGAAAAAATCCTTCGAAATATTTCATTTTTAATGCATTTCATTTCGTACTTCAATTCGAAACATTTTCAAAAACAACCGATACCTAAAAACCGACGGATATTTCTTTCGAAATTTATGCTAAAAAAAAAATAATATATATATATAAAACACAACAAACAAAACTCAACAACAACTCAACTTACAACAACAATACCAAATAACCCCGAATAATAAACATTCTGAATGTACACCATGATTCTCTCTGAAATCTATTCTATATATGAACCCCGTTTTCCCCCCTCTTCGAAATGCTTTTATTATCTCTAACAATAATTTTATTTAACTCTAAATATATATTTATGTATGTATAAATATATTTTCAAATCGATTCGTTTGCATTTCACGTGTGCCATAAACCAAAATCAAAACAAAATTTACGAAACAATTGAAAATATTAAATATAAAATATTAAATGAATGTGTAAATTGAAATGAACTTAAAATTTTTAATTGAACAAACGACAAATTCGATATATGAATAATGTATAAATAAAACTATGGAATTGTACAAATGAAAATGCAAAAGAAAAACGCAAAACGCTTTAAAACAATCGCACGTATCCTCTACTACAATACCGTTACCTATCCCCTACAATCCGTTTCCGACGAGCCCTAATCCGATCCCGAACCCGACCCAGAACCCAATATCCCTATCAATCCCCTCCCACTCCCAGATCCCATGCCAGTGGGCGGTTTACGAATCGAAACAATTTTCAAAAATCAAAACCAGTATCACTCCAGAGAGAGCTAGAGTTAGACAGAGTCAGAGTTAGTGAAAGATATATTCTTGGAGCATCATTTATCGCCTCGAAGGCGGCTTCCATTGAGGTTTCTGAAACCAAATCGAATCCAAGCTAAAGGAACTTAGATATATATTCTATATATATATATATACCCAAGCCACGCACATGCTTACAATAAATTGTTGAGAGTTAACCCCCCCCAAAAAGCCAAATCAAAATGGAATTCTAGAATCAAGTTTGTATAATCAAAAGCAAATGTTAACGTTAGGCTAAGTCAATGGCTATATAGAACCACTTATTAACTTGCGCCGAGCGCTGTTAGAGGATAATTCGGAGATCCTAAATACAAAATAAATATATTACTAAAACTATAACTATCCAAGAAAATGTTCGTTGTGTCCCCCACACACACACACTGCTACTCTAATGCTATCGAAACTACTCCGTATCCTTAACCGTATATTTCTTATATCCGCTTTCACTATCTAGATATTGTAGAAAAAGGCTTTCAGCACTTAAAGTCAAGCTTC